AAGGGGGGGGGTTGGGGGGGGGGGGGATCACACAGCACAGAAATCTATTCAAAGACAAACAAAGAGGTTTTCCAAGATGCTCAAATATTCCGAGATCTAGTGACCTGTTAATGATACAAAGAAAGGATATTGCACCAGCACAGAAATCTATTCAGAGAACAAACAAAGAAGTTTTCCAAGTCGCTCAAATATTCCAAGATCTAGACATCTAGTGACCTCTTAGTGATACAAAGAAAGGGCATTGCATGTGATAGAAAAAACAAGAGCCCACCTGATAATTAGGAGAATAAAGCTGATTTTTACATAAAAGCGAAATTTTGGACATTCTGAGGTTTATAATTTTTTTATTATTGTTAACTAGATTCACAGCTGGCACCAAACAATTACGATATAAAGATAACCTCACCATTAGAATATTTTAACCCAAAATCAAGAGCATAGGGCAAGGTGCGGAAGGGAAAAAAGGAGGGAGTTAAAGCACAATTTTCTAGGGAATAAAATGCAAAAGTACTTACATTCAAGGCATCCAATTATATCCATGATCAATTCATCCCCGAATATTTTCTCAAAAATCTGGGGACTATTTAGTAAAACTGCAAACAAAACACACAAAGATAATAAGATTGATGGAATCACTTGAACATGTAATAACATACTCTTGAAGAATGGCAAGCCTACTTACTGATTCCTCTAACTAATTTGAAAATCATGTGAAGACCATCAATATTTTCCAAATCTTCACAAATCTTAAACAGGTCCACCAGCTTTGGGAAGAAATCTTGCTGCATCACAATAAGCTTCGCTTAATAGATGATCATATTGGAAAGACATTGAAAACAATATGATTGTGATGTCCTTAAAAGGGAAAAGAATGCTAAATACTTAAGAACACTAGGTATCAAAACCCCATGGATTCCTTTTAAGCCATTAGCTTAGTTTCTCAGCTGCCAGATACAATTTATCTCCCAATTCCAACCTCAATGATTTTCCTGACGCCAGGAACTCTACACTACGGGCCGATTTTCGATCTTCAAAGGCCAGATACACAACCATCCTAAAGTGTATACTTCAAATTATGGTAACTTGCATAGTTGACCCCAAAATTGTCTACTAACAAATAAATGGAGATAGTACAGGTCCAATAAAATACACTCATATATATTGATTACAATGATGATACACTAAATTGAGGCATATCCCTCAATAAATCACTGTCTGCAAATGTAGAAGTTACGAATCTTCACTAACAAAAAAGATTGAGAAGTCTTACATAGTGTAGTATGAGTTCATTCACACGCAATTGACCAGCGATGCCACTCTCAACTACAATCTGCAAAAGATAAACAGGAGAATAATCTTTATATAGGTAAATAATGAAGTATATAAAGAATTCAGCTCAAGAGAGCTTCATCAATGAGAAGAATACAGAAAACTACTAAGATTAAGATGCAATGAAGTGCCACAGCTACAAACAAAACTAATACACTGAAAAATATTCAACCAACCAAACATAAAAAACGAATGAAAAAGATATCTGGGAGGTTATCAAATTATTTTGGTGAAGATTTGGAAAAGGGAGAAAGAAAAGAGGGAAATAAAACTAGCAGAAATTACTATGAATCAATCAGATAAAATTATTGGGTGCACATATAAGATCAAAGTACATCAGTTTCATGCAACAAAAGAACCAAATAAATTCAGGCACACAACATTAAAATCACGTCATGAGACCATGGTAGTGTATTTCTAGTTGCCAGGTAAGGAAACACGAGAAAGAGAAAGATACCTTAAGTATCAAAGGGAGAGTAGATAGCTCAACTGGAGGCAACTCCCTCAACTCATTATTGACATTATGGTACGTCTCATCTGAGAATATACATAATCGAATGTCAAACATCACAGTTACCCCACATTATACACAAAATAAAACCATTTCAAGTAGGTAAGACGCAGAAACATGTCCAAATTTGAGAAGGATATGTATGCATTTCAGCTTACTCCACACAAGATATTTGGCACATAACAATTAGATCTCACCCATCCTGAGCTCATGTAATACCCGGAGAACCAATAGATTGTGACGAGTTTTGCTATTAATAATTTTTAGCTCAAAGGCAAGCATCTTGCTACTAAAATCAACATACAAAGACCACTGCCAATTATGGTCCACCAACTTCCAATACGATTCCGATTCTATGTGTGCTAAATCCGAAAATATGATTATTCATAATGTCATGATTCAGCAGAACATCAACATAAAAGGCAAGTAAGTTGAGAAATTAAAAGGGACCGATAAGTGATTTGTGTGATCAACCATGCAGATGCATGCAAGTAAAGTTATAGGGTACTAGTGTTAAAGAGGATTTAAAGACCATCAATTGTCGATACAGAAAATTTTGGTGCTGATCAAAGCTTCCATCCATCATTAATGAAAAGAAAGCTTAAAAAAGGGCACGACAACTAAAAAAAAGGGTAGTTGCTTCACTCCTAAAGATGCACAGGCAAACTAATAAGAACTTCATATCTTCACCATTGTGCTTTAAACCAGGTATCGAGTTATCATTACGTCGTTCAATTTTCTAAAACTAGGATAACGAGTTAACTTGTACATTTTATAATTCTCACAATTTCTTCTGAAACGAATGGACTACTGCGAACACTTACTACTAAGAGAGCTAAATTGTATATTCCTTTGCACGCTACATATATGGTCCCTGCACAAAACAAAAGGGGAGAGGAAATATTATGATCTAAGCCAGGAGAAGAAAGAGAGTTTCAAATGCATAAGAAACGAGCTACGTCTGATACTAGCCATATGTAAGAGCAACCAGTCATCTCCTGAAAGCTAAGGGCCAATTCAGTTGAAAACTCTGGATCTCTCCACGAAATAATTGTATCTGAAAGATACAAAGTTCATACGAATAGTAACCCAGGGAAAAGGTAAGAAAGTGATAGTTAAAAGGAAATTTCGAAAGGAGAAACAGTGTATAACTTACCTTCTTGCTTACGATAAATATCTTGTGAGCTGATCCGGTGCAATAATAATGTTTCACTGTCTTCCTCATCAATAACAAACAATCCCAGATCTTCTGATCTCTGTCCCACAAGTCACAGCATTTCAAGTGCAGGTGATTATTATGAAATGATTTTCAATTATCATACTAGGAAAGAGTCAGTATATACTACACAACATAAACAAGTGAGAGATGGATTCCAAAAGCAGTCAAACCTCCAGAGGATCAACAGTGACATGGCCAGTTCCTTGGTCATCCCATTTCCCCTCCTCATTCAGGCGGTACACCTTAACACGCTGAAATTAATATCTAATGATGTTAGAACTCTATCCATAAGTCAATTGTGATAATAATATAAAATAGATTAGCATGTCCTGCATATAGCTACCACATGGTTGACTCAGAACTTCATCTTCTATGCCCCTGTTTGGACTCCATTAAAATTTGAATTTGAAAAAAAAAAAAAAAAAATGTATTTTGGATAGAGTGATTTTTTGAGAGAATGTCTCTTTTGAAAAAATTTTAGATTTACGTATAATATTAACAGAGCCATAATAAGAAAAGCACCTGAAGGAATAGGGTGCATCTTAATTTGTTGTATCCTAACAGGTACATTCCTGCCTCTGGCTTAAGTTTAACATAATATTCATTTTTTTATATGAAGATATTCCACGTGATAGGGCCTAAGGAAGTCCACTGTAGGTGGTAGAGAAAGCATTTCAATTAGATATATCGATATTGTTAAGGATGTTTATGATAAAACAATTACAAGTGTTGCGATGTAGTCACAGTAATAGTATAGATTTCTCCATTAGCATAGGTTTGCACCAAATTTTGGCCTCGAGTCATTGACTTTTTGCCTTGTTCATGGATAGGCTATTATAACATATTCGAGATAATTTCCTATGATGTAAGGTATTAGTTGAGAGTATAATTTTGGTTAATTAGAATAGAAAGGGGTTAATCATAAGTTACAACTTAGGAGTAATATTTTAGAATCCAAAGGTTTTAGACTTTTAGTTGAGTAGAACCAAGCCACAGTACATGAAAGGCCATTTTATTAATTGTAAGAACAAGGATAATAAAGAAGATACCATAGGAGATCTTGGGATTCTTAAAAGGTAAATGTCTTAGATATTCGAGGTTTTTATTAAAAAGAAAGAAACTGAAGGGGATGTACTGCATAGGATTACAGCAGGTTGGATGAATGGTAGGTGCTACATCAATTCCATATGATGAAAAATCCTTGTGAGGTTAAAAGGCAAGGTATAAGTATAGTGATTAGACCTACTATGTTTTTATGGCTGCGAGTCTTGGGTTGTTTGATGATAAAATGCTCATAATTCATAAAATTAATGTAAGCAAAACAACAATTCTATAATGTACGAACATACTAGGTGCATTGTTAAACAAATGTATGGTAAATGATCTCTTTCAAAAATCTAAGGAGTGAAAGCAAAGACAATTGCCCTCAACTTCTGATTATACTGACTTGGTGAAACATTATTGTAAATTCACACAAAATCTTTGGTTTGAGATAATCATAACAAAATTCTACTTTCAATATTATGTAATCAAAATAATTTTTTTAAGTAGCAAACACTGTGCAAATATGGGCACATAGGTACACACAGAACTCAACCAATAAGGTAGATAAACATAATGAGTAATTAAAAATTATGAAATATTTTTCTCACTGAAGTTGCCGATACTGCATACATCAGCCATTGAATTCAACCGTTAGGTAGATAAACATAATAAAAGAAAATTCTACTGAAACATGAGTAATTAAAAATTAAGGTTTTCCTTAAAGTTAAATGGGTGATCAACAGATAAAAACATATTAAACAAAATTCTACTTTAAAAAATGTATAATTATGAAATATTTTCTCGCAAAAGTGACCAACATTGTGCAAATATAGGCGCACAGGTATGCATTGAATTCAACCAAAAAGGTAGTCTGACTGAAGTGGCCACTACTATCGGTGCTCAGGTATTCATTGAACAACCAATAAGGTAGAAAACATAATAAAACAAACCTTAATAGACATAATATTTGGTGGAGATTATGAAAATTGCCCTCAAACGGTATCTCATTAAGTAATCATTTACTTCCCAAAGTAGTTATCAAGAATACCTCGACAACAATGATTATCCAGAAATTATTAGCAGAAGCTTTACAAGTATGACAGCAAAAGTAGGATAGGATACTCAGAGGACAATTTGACAGAACAAATATATACAAATATAAATTCCATTTGCAAAAAAATCTCTCACTAATCTCCTGGTTAAGCAAAGAAGCTTAATTTCAGCTATCTTTTAACCAATTGCATGCAGGATTCGTGGTTCAATAGGCTTAAACTACAAACCTTCGAATACAAGTGAAGAAAACTTTTGAAACTCAAATGGAATCACTTACAATGAAAAATATGTGTAAAAACAAATCACGTCATCAAGTACACAAATTAAATCCCATAAAATTTTAGAATCGGTATAAATAAAGCTTCAGCAACAAAAAGAAGAGCCGAATTTCAACTCGCAAAAATTAACGGACATGGGTTCAATTCTAGGTCTAAAATATAGCATCTTTTATCAATTCTTCACATTTATACTAACCTGCATGGAATTGTTAGCGTTTGGTGTCTTGTCTTGAGTGCCCATGTGATAAGCTTATCCTATTCACGAAGTCCGTGGAATTCACGGTTCAAAAAGCACAGATTGAATTGCAGGGGCAATTGACAGAGGAGTCGAATAAAATTAGGGTTTAGAAAAAGAGAAAAGAGTGTATTTTATGGAAACAAAATATTGAATTTTGTGGTGTGGCACAGCTCGGGTTTAAATTCAGATCGATTAAAACCCTAACCGCCAATAAAATTATTCGAGTGAACAAAGCTTCGCACACAGCTCTCTCTCTCTCTCTCCCCCTCCCTCGCGCGCGCTCTCTAGTTCCAGTCTCTATTTTATCTTTCCCTGTGAAATATTTTTCTTCTCTGAGCCCGGCCTTTGAAAACCAGCATTTATCGAAATGATCCTACTACCCTTGGTGTAACGTCGAAATTACGAGCGTTGCCATTAGCCTTGATCTCTACTTTTCTGACGTTTCACGCGCTCTGAATTGCGTCTCTTTATATTAATAACCCTAACTTGTATGCGTCTCTCACGACACAACAAAAGGGTGACAACATAGTTTCATTTATTAATCATTTCAATTTTGGCATTTACCATTAGACTCAGTTGCCATGTGGCAGGAATAGAGGCTCAGCATTCGTAGACATTTGACAAATATTTCACAATAGATGGTATAAGTATTTTTCTCGCCATTTTTATTACATGAGATCCCGAGTGTCCCAATCCCATGGAAGTGCCTTGTAGAAGATCTGTAGATTGCTGTCATGTACACCCAGTTAAATTGATGTCGAATTAATTATGACCATGTTTGTCCCCATTAAAATTTTAATATATTTTTCTCTATTTTCTTTTTCACTACATATTTTTTAATAAAATAATATTATACAAAAATAAAAAAATTCTTTTTTTAACCGCACTTTCTTCCAAAATACATTATTTTTAAACTCTCATTATGATGGGGGCCTAACAGATTGTGAGTTACTTAAGCAAAAATGTTTTGACAAAAATTTTGACAAATGTTGAAATAGTACGTACTCAGCCATTGATTTGAATTTATGAAGTTCAAATCAAGATTATGTTTGACCCACGTTCTTTCAAAAAAATATATTATTAAATAGTGATTTAGTATCATTTCAACAACACATTTTTCAATAAAATAATATTACACGTAAATTTTAAAAAAAATTATTTTTAACCACACATTTTTCCATCAATACACTATTCAAAAATACACTATTCAAAAATGCATTCTTATGAAAATAATGAAGCTCAAACAAAGACCAAGTATTAATGTGCATGTCACCGTAACATCTTCAAAAAATAAAGTCAAAAAAACTGTACAAATAACAACATTCATGTCCAATACCTACAATACTAGCGTTGTTTTTATCTGGTTATTTTGTAGGATTTGTCGCCATTTATATATTTTCTAGGATTAACAACTTATAATCATTTAAAAGTTAAGCACTGTCAATGTATTAAGTTGATGGGCTAATATGGGCCCACATTAAGTTCTCGTTTGATTTTAATTATTTGAGAATTACTTTTCTTTCACACTTAGAAGATGTTTAGTAGGGGTTAAAAATAAATTTTTTAGTAGAATGTGATAGAAATTTTTGAAATGTGTAATTGAAAAATTATGAAATCCATAAAATATGTAATTAATATTGATTGTTTGATTTTGATTTTGATTAAAATCAGATTTTAATCCAAATCAAACAGGCATTTATTTTCTACCATACAATCCCTAAAAAAATTGTTTTTATGTTTTCACATAGTTTTTCCCTAATTTTTAATTACATGTTCAAAAAAGAAACATTTTCAAAGAATTACTTCTTAAAAAAATTAAATATGAAATTTCCAAGAAAAATTATTTTCCTTCGAAACTAACTATGAAAAACATCAGAATTCACGAGGCTCAAAGATAGTGGAATTGAAAAAATACATAGAAGAGATTCTCAATCCTCGCCTAAATTTCATGTTTAAATGTTATTAGCTTTAATACACTATTTAGTACGATGAGATTTTATTTTTCAATTCCAATTTCCAACACACAATGACTAACACTTAGCCCAAGTTTTGTGAGGATTTAAATTAGATTTTTAGTAGATTTGATAAAAATTATTGAAATGTATAGTTGAAAAATTGTAAGACTCATAAAAAATGTGATTAATATTGATTATTTCACTTTCATTTAAATTAAAATCTAATTTAAATTTATACCAAACAGGGGCTTAATCAATATATTAATTATGAGATGATCTCACGATCAAAATTGTTTTCATTTCTGTTGCTCCTCTACGTTAGCTTAATAACGGTTTTCTTATTTTCAAAAAAGAATGTAAAGTGTAATTGTTATATTCAGAGTATCTGACTTTCTATTTTTAAAGAGCATAACCTATTATTCAAAGAGCATCTAGAAATTTAGAGAGAGAGATTTTTGAAGTACTTCAACAAGCTCTCTATGTATAACATTTAATTTTACTATTCCCAAAAAATATTTATAATTTTTCTCATCTTTTGTTTTAACTAGTTTTTCTCCAAATAGTTATATTATTTTCCTACATTAAAAATTAAAATATTTTGAATGCACTTAATCATGGAGAATGAGTTTGGCTCCGCTACTCTCTAAAATAAAATGTTAACTTAAAAAGCCTCTTGAGACATGAAATAAAGAGTATTTCAAGTTTAAATAGTCTTTTGGAAATACTCTCACTACATAGTTTAATAATTAGTATTTGTTTGGCTCCATTAAAATTTTAATACATTTTTTCCTTTCTTCTTTTCAACTACACATTCATCAATAAAATAATATTATAAGTAAGCCAAAAATTTTACCTACTTTTATAACCTCATATTCTCTCAAAAATTACTATTTCAAAACACATTATTACCAAAATTTCATTATAATGGGGGCCAAACAAGGGGCTTAAACGTCTTCCTTCTGACAAGCACAAATTATGCAATATTCCTCCAATCATTCCTTTTATCCCAAATCTTCCACTCTTCCGACATCTTAAATTTAGTACGAATTGTAGCCCCAAACAACCATGCTCTTCAAATGACAAGAAGTAATTCCTTTAAATTTAAAACTCAAACGTCAAACTTCAAGCTATTGATGTATTACTTGAGTTTTACAGTAAAAAGGGGGAAAAAGGCCCTACAACGTTGACTGATGTAAATTAACTATACTCTCTCTTAAAACAATGCTACAATTATGAACCAAACTGAACAAGAAAAATGAAATACTAAGTAAACAAACAATTGCTTTAATATGGAAGCTACTCACCATTGGATGGACTAGGCAACAACAACGGACGGTACGAAAAAACATAGCTAGTGAATCCTAACAAATAACCACCTCATCAGGAAATATGCTTATGGTTGGAAATAAGTTTAAAAGATCAATTATTTCAGTGGGTCGTTAGTCAAATATGAGAGTTATTAGGCCAAACGAGTTCACTAGATTGTACTTGCTCGAAACCAATTTCAAGTGAATGAAAAATTAAAACCAAAAGAGAGCCGCTATAAAGCATGAAACAAAAGTTTAAAAAATTGAAAGCTTGAATACCAAAGGGGGGCATGATCCACTAAAAAATGGGTAAGCCATGAAATTGAATAAATGGTAGGAAAATGGAAAAGCCATATCCCATGATGGAAGATGAATTGACATTAGACGATTTAATATAGTTCAAGTTAGATGTTTGGAGTCAGATCAAAGTGACACCACTAATTTTGAGATGACCTATGTGTTAGAGGTTTTGAGCTAAAGCCAACACACAGCCAGATTGAGGTGCAAATAATTATTTAAATTCCTCTACCTACCAAATGGCGACAAGTAAGGGTGTTAATGGGCTGAAGCTCAACTCACAGCACAAGCTAACTTACTTAAAAAAATGTCTCAACTTCTGCCTACCAACTTGCTGGTTGACAAGGTAAGTTGCTCGTGGACCTGTCTTTTCTTTAATTTATTTAAAACTAAAACTGTTATTTATAATTCATAAAGCAGCTTGAAATTTTTTAAAAAATATATTTGTTTATATAAGTTGATAAAATAAATTTGATATTGCAAAAACCCTATTCCATTATTCGAGTTTGGGACTAACTACATGATAAATAAGCAAAGTTAAAATTGTACAAGAATTGGTATTGCATATATATATATATTTTTAAAATGAAAATACATTTGAATTGAACAAATTAAATAAATAGAAAGTTCTTACTTTATTATCTTCCTCATCTACAATTGCAAGATATAAAGCCTTGTTCGGTGGAGATTCTTTAATACTCATTATTTTTCCTAAGTTCTCTTAATAAATTATTTTGAGTGTAGATTCATAATTTTTTTTAAAGGAATTTTAACCACAATTTTCAGTAAAATTCACATCTACACATGCTCTAATTTTGTCAAAAACGTCACCGTATGCAACCTATTTTCATACACAAATATGTGTTTCTATTTGCTTTGGAATATTGCTGCCACGTGCTATATCCTAACCTAGAATATTATTTCTTATTAAAGAACTTATGTTTTCAAGTGTTTTTAAAGTTGTTGGTGATGTGAATATGTGACGCTCTATTCCTGACGATATTGGATAATTATACTTTTATGCATTCCACCTATAGAAATTAAAAAGGTCTGCTCCCACTAATGAATCATTGAATGTAGGGGTTCCAAAAATGTGATTTTTGTACATTTAAAGTTAAATTTGTATAGTTAAAACTTGAGTATGAATTACACAAATCTATAACTATATCTTGTACCGGATGACATATTTACTTTGAAAATAAAGTTCAAATTATTTTTAAGAAATCTAACAATGTCCAGCTTCGAATTTCAAATGGGGAGTCGATGCATCTATAATTAAAACAATGATTGAAGTGACGTTCTCATTAAATAGATGTTAGGAATGTCAACCTAGAAGTGTAGGGCGGCTGACCCTGTCAAATGTGTCTGTAATGTAATTAATGTAAAACAAGATGATGTGATGCCCAACTCTAGCATATGAAGCCACCTGGATATGATCCAACGGTGATCACATCGCCCTAATCACTATAATAACAGACCTTGTAACATTATAAAGGGATCAATTTTCATACAAAAAAAATGGAGTATTATGGTCTCCTTTCTATAAATATTTGCTCTCTCTAAGTGCTCTTCTTAACATACACTTTCTGTAACGACCCGGACCTCTTGTCCAAGCCGTTAGCTTACGTACTGTCCGCTTTGGGTGGACCTACAGTACGTAAGCTAACGGTTTGGACGAGAGGTCCGGGTCGTTACACTTTCAATCACGAACATCTCGTTTATGTGCTTAAGTATATTTAGCTAGTAATTGAGAATCAAGTTGAGCTTTCAATAA